CATTTTTTCCAGATCCTCTTTTGTTGCCAGTTCAGGGAGTCCAGGTGGTTGAGTATCAGAGTGTTCCATCTCATTTCCCTTTGGGATTGCTGTAGGTGATCTGGAAGTCTGGTTTTGAGACTTGTTTACATGTCTCCTCATTTGATGGGGGGGGGGGCTGGTGGTGCTGCCGGAGCCCTCATGGTTCACCTCCTGTGTGCTGGCGGGGGTGGTATGGCGGCCCAGAAGCCTCCCCTTGTGCGCTGGAATTGGCTCACCTCCTGTGTCTCTATTTTTCTTTTAGATATTGCAGTTTATTCAATGATTTTGTTGAATCTGAATTTTTTCTGATTGATGGAGATTCATTACTTATCACATGTATATGTGAGAAATTTTTACAGCCAGGGCAGAATCTCCATTTCTTCTACCTGGTTGAACATTATCTCATGGATCTTATTAATAAAGGAGGACAATTTACCACAGTTTTCTTCCAGGTAACATGACAATTGAGTTTATTTTTACGATTTCAGGACTAAAAGAAATTCTTGAAATTATTTTATAAGTATGTTTCCATTATTATAAAGTAAAATATATCTTGAAAAATGGAGAAATTTTAAAGGGAAAAAGAGAAAAAAATTACCTGAATTCACATTATTCAGCAAAGACCAAACCAGTTTATTTGGTTTTTATTTTCAATGAAAGATCTTTATTGCAAGGATACATTGAATTGTCCAGGTGGGTGGAAAATTTCAGTAGTGGCCAATTTTTTCTCTGGGTTCTAGTTTTTCATCTCTGAGAACTAATTCTGTTTTTAAAACTCAACAATAAATTTACTTGAGCATAAAATAAAGTATATTTGAGTCCAGGCAATTTCAACAACCCTGTTTTGCATTTATTTGCTCAGCAGTAAATATCTGCAAGAGAATACCACATTTGCTTTTCTAATTATGAATATAAGTAATAAACTTCCAACAATTTCAAATACAGATATATATAACCCCTGCTACTCTTTCCTAATCCTACTCTGAAAGGTAACTAATATGCTATTCAAAGGCTTTGGTATGGATCTATTTAATCATTTTGCATTCCACATTATTGTTATATTCTGAATACTGCTGACAGCTTGCCAGCAATGTTTTGAAAAAACAGCCAGCTTTCTGGTCTGATGTTTACGATCCAGCTGGCCCCACACATTGCTTCGCTCTGCTGAGATAAACCTGCAGAGCTGAAGGAAGGTGTTGCTGACCTGGAGCAGTCCTCTAGGACAAAGAGAGTCACCTCTGCTGCCCAGCAGCGATGATTTCTATCCACCCTTGCTTTTACACACTTTCTGTCCATTTTCTCTTTGAAATGAGATTATAGAGGAAAAGAATTAGTGAATGGGAAGGGAAAGTATGGTAAACCCTGAGTGTTATGTGTTTGCAGACAGGGGATACAAGTTTTTAAATCCAAATCGTGATTTACAGAAAACAGTTGAAAAATGGTGGTCAAAGTTTAAAGGTCTATTCCTTGCTATATGACACAGCAAAACTGTGTTGGGTTTTAGTCCTTAAATTCCTTAATGATGTCTTAACCAAGAAACTTTTTAAATAACATAGTTTTCCATATCCACCTCACAGGATGCTGAGTACACGTATTTCAGCTCTCCTGAACTTCTTCCTTTGAGAACTGCTTTAATTCTTCATCTTCAGAAAAATACCAGCATTAATGTTTGTACTCAATTTACTGGATGCTTATCAAAGGAGTGGAAAATGTTCTTGGATGAGAATTACCCGTATTTCCTGATAGTTGCAGACGAAGGTCTAAACCCTCTGCAAACCCAACTTTTCAACTTTTTAATCATTCAGTGTTGGTCAGAGAGGGTCAATGTTGTGCTTTTCTCTGGGCAAACATCTGATATTCTTCGACTTTATGCATACTTTCTGGCAAGTGTATGCAAGAACCAGAATTTCTTCATGGAGGTAATTTATGAAAGACAGTGTTCTAGAATTTTTTTTTTTTTAAATTACTCTGTTTTGTTTTGACCTTTTATATAGGAATTATCAAAGGTTTAACTGAGGGACAGAGAAATTTGATAATAACAATAAATGTAATAAATAACAGCAATAGCTGAAATGTACTATTTATTTAATATTTATTGTTACACAGTAGTGCTTGATATTTCTCTTGAATGATTTTTGTTTTACTTTCACAATAATACCATAGGGCCAATATTAGTATCACCTAAATTTTAGAGGTGAGAAAATAGATATTTGAATAAATAGTCTGCTGATCACCAATACCAAGTGGGTACTAGAACATGGATCTGAAGACACACAGCCCCTACATTCTTGACCACTGTGTAGTATACTGCCTCCAACTTAGAGATGGCCAAAGATGCATTAACGCAACTGTGAAATGAGCTCACCACGGTGTCCTTTAATAAATGGCACAGTGGAGCCAGGTCAGTGAGGTAGGCAGAACACTGAGAAGTTTCTTTCTTAATAGTAACTCATTAGTAGGAGAATTTTTCAAGTTCTTAGTAATTTAATTCCATGCTCTTATTATTTTTCTGTGTTGGTATATTTGTGAACTAAGCTGTTGAAATTTTTGAAGTAAAAATTGCATATCAACTTCATAAATAAATCTAGTTTCCATGTATTTTCACTACTTGCAGTGAATTCTAAATATTAAGATTATTCTACATTTCATCAAAATATATCTGGGTCAATTAATGTTTGTCACTCTTTGAGAATTGCACAATACCTTTAGTGTATTTGGAGACAACCAGATGATTATTATGAAATAATAAAATAGTTTGCTTTGTTTTAATTAGCATTCCTATCATTAAATTGTTTCTCATTCTGCTTGGCTGCTATAAGAAGGATTAGTCCTGGAATTCACTTTTACATTGAGAAGTATTATCATCACTGAGTTCATTTTATCTTGTTAGGGTAACTTCTTGATCTCAGTTTTAAGAGCATCTCACAAACATCCTGCCCATTTTCTCCTAAAGAATAATTTTTCTTAAGTGGAGGATTTCAGTTTTAGTAAAATAATGTACTTCTGATTTAGTTGAACATTCACCTTAAAGAGGTTTCATTAATCAATTTCAGGTCTATCGGAAATCGAATTAAAATGCAATGATATGCATTTTATTAATCTGTTTGTGTACTACTTGAAAACAACTAAAAATGTTGATAATGACTGTTGGTGTGATAGGTACCTATAGGAACTTTATGCTATTAATGTGTATGTTTGAAATTCATCACAATACAGTACATTGCTTTTTGGGGGAATGTTGCAATGTTGTAGAATTAGATAGTTGATGACTTGATGGATTTACTAAGAGCCATTGAATTGTATAATTAAAATAAGTGATTTATATATTATTTTATTTATACCTTTGTGAAACTTAAAATATAAGACTCACTATATACCTAGCAGAGATAAAATAGGCTGTCTGGCAGTCTTTAAAAAGATTGCTGAATATCTGCAATTACATTAGTATAATTTTTTAAATATAGGAATATATTGTAATGATTACATCTTAAGTGTCTGATTTTCTATGTTTGGAAGGAACTTAACTGTCAATTTATCTGACTTTTAGCTTTTTGGTTTTTTTTTTTTTTTACAGAATGAAAATGAGATTAGAAATGCTTATAAAATGCTGCTTAAAAAATTGAGAGAATATAGAGCATTAGAATCATCATCTCTTTTGAAAAATTTAGCATCAAAACATATGATGGAAGAGGTAATGATATCTTAAAAAGAATGCTTTTGTTTGATATTTTTTAATTATAGAAAAGTTTCAAAAATAGTTTATAGTTGCTATTATTTCTTTCCCAGTTTCCTCTGATGTTATTTTCTTATGTAACCATGATGCATTTGTCAAAACCAGAAAATTACCATAGGTGTGGTACTCTTAACTCCAGGTCACATCTTATTTGAATTTCACTTATTTTGCCACTAATGTCCCTTTTTATTTTTTGGTTTTTAGTTTCCTCCAGCCTGAAATGGTTCTGTCTTCTTTTGTCATTCATGACCTTGATTTTTTGAAGCATATTGATATTTATATAAAAATATACTTCAGTTTGGGCTGGTCTGATGTTCTGTACTGATTGGAATTAGGTTATGGACTTTTAGCACAAATACCATTGAATTAACCCTGCATGCTCTGTGCATGGTAGCAAAGAACCATCATTAGATGGTTCTATCTTCACTCTGGTCAGTCTGAAACTTCAAATGCTTTCTTCCTTATAAACTTATTATCTTCACTATGCAATAAATATCTTGGGGGAGATGCTTAGTGATTATCCAAATTCTGTTTATTCTTAAGTCTTTGCTAATTAATTTTAGTATTCATCAGTGGATCTTGTCTGCAATAGTTATTATTAACGTTTTTGCCTAATGATTATTTTCTATTTAACTCTTTACTTTCTCATATATTAAATGGAATCCTGTCATAAAGAGGAGCTATCTTAGTTGTGCCATTTATTTACTTATTTAGTTTTTTATTTATCCCTTTACGGACTAATGAGTATTTGATTTATAAACTAACATCCAGTATTGTAATAATTTTGTTGCTCACAGTGTTCCAGGTTTGAGCCTTAGAGAATCCTTTATGTTGGCACTTGTGTTCCCCTACTAGCCTCCTTTTTTGAGCACTCTTACTTTTTGAAATCCCAAGATGTTTTGGTCTCATCTTGTGTTTTTTGGATTTTGAGTAATTGTTAGTTTTCTGTATTCTTTTGGGTCATAATATCCAACACCCACAATTTCAAAGAGGAACTATCTAGTCTGTTCATGGGTTCAGTCCATGAACAGTTGACTCCAAGATAGAGACCATGAAAGATGGGGGTGGGAGAACAAAGGTTCTGCTGAGAAGGCAACCAGGGGATGAGTGGCAGAGTAGGAGGGGTAAGGGACCAGACCGAGACCCTAAGGCCAGACCTCCATGACCCACTCAGACACCTCCAGAGGTATGCTTCACCCATCCTTGTGGGGCAACTTAAAGTTTTTGGAAATTGATTTACAGATAACTCTGTGATGAACATTTTGGTGCATAAATATTGGTGCATAGTTTGGACTATGCACTTATACTAGATCCTTAGAACTTCCTAGAACTTGATACTCAAAATGAATCAACATATTTAATGATAATTATGTGTTGTCATGGTTTGTGTTTAAATGTCCCCCCAAAGCCATATGCAGATGAGGTAGGACTTTCTTTTTCAGAGGTAGTTGAGTCTGGAATGTGGGATACTGGGGTTAAGGGTGTGTGATTACTAAATCAGTACACACAAGTAATTAGTTTGGCACCACCCTAATCCTGGTAGTTTGAATAAGATTAAAAGGGCAAAAAGATGCTGTTAAACTCTCTTGTTACCTTTGCTACTGTGTGCAAGCAATATTGTTTTTGCTCTGTGTTGCGTCCCAGCCTCGGAGCCAGCCGATTATAGACTGAAGCCTCTAGGAACTATAAGCCAAATAAACCCTTTCTGCTTTAACTTTGGGTGCCAGGTATTTTGTCTCAGCAGAGAGTAAAGTAATTAACACATATATATTGTCAAATAGCTTTGCATTTAAGTCTGTATATATTTATGCTCTGATTAGCAAAGTATAAAAGAAATGATACACCATATGTTTTTAATTCTGTGAATTATCACTAAAAATACTTTAATTTGAAAGTCAAAATATGCTAATTTTTAAAATAATTTTAAATAGGTTGAATATTTTTCTGTTTTAATAATATTTGCATTTCTTTAGCGCATTATAGTGTTATTTAAGTGTTGGGCATTTTCTTACTGATTTATACAAGCTCTTTACCTACTTATATTTTAATGGTTTCATTGAATAATTATAATTTTATCTACTCATACATATCCATCTTTTCCATATGATTTCTTCTAGAAAGATCATTTATGAATAAAAATACTTTTCTAAATAGCAATAAATTGTGTTACAATTTTCTTACATAACAGGCATGTGAGACTATATGTCTGCTCCAACAACTCTGGCCAAATGGATCTGACATTCGACGTGTCCTTTGTGTCACTTCATGCTCAATGGCTTTGGGAATGTACCATCACTTCTTAGAAAGCAGAGAGAAGGCCATCTCTGAAAAGACAACAAACAACAAAAAGGTGTAACTATCACAACTTTACTGGGAAACATTCTGTTCATTTTCCACATTTTATTAACTTTTATCTAACATTTTCTCTATTTGATACTAACTTTAATCCTCACTTATAATTTCAACAATAAGAAAAACACAATTTTATTTTATTTTATTTTATTTTGTGCAGTACTAGAGATTGAGTTTAGGACATTGTGCATGCTAAAGAAGCTAGAATTTATATCGTCCCATTTTGCGAAATATATCCACTTCTTTACACCTTTTGTCACTGGGCCTGTTTTTCAGATACATTGCCATCCAGGTGTTCTCCTCCATTACTGTCCAGTATCAGTTTTCAAATATGATGCCTTGGACATAACAGAACTTTAACGTGTGGATCCGTTCTTGCGGAGTCCTCTGAGATTGTAACTTTAGAGCTGCTTGATCAGCTCAAGTGAAGTTTGGCTTAAGTAAAAATCCTGAGAAATATCTTAAGGGGTATTAAACTGAATGTTTCCTTTCTACTTTATCCTAAATATGTAGAAATGCTGAAAATCATTGTTGCAAAAATGTAGAATGAAGAAAATCTCAGAATCCCAACAGGGCAAAGCGTGGCTGTTGGCTGTTGTGGTTCTGCATGCTTATTATGCAGTTTCATAGCCTGCTACTCCCTGGCTCATCTATCTATTTTGTTTAGGTGAACAGTGATTACTTAACCCTGCAGGATGTGGAAGATCTGTGCAAACTGCATTGTCTCAGTGTGGTTTTTCTACTACACATACCTCTGTCTCAGCGAGCTCGCTCTAGATTCATCACTTCCGATTGGGTTGAAGACACTCAGATGTTCTTTAAAATGGTGAGTATAATCTCTACTGGCTTAGTGTTTTGTCTCCACTGTGTGGTATGCAAAATCCACTAGCCTTCAAAACAGATTGATATGGGAACAGTGCTAGCCCTTTAGGGATTTTAGAAGTTAATGACCTAAATGAATCAGTTGACTAATTCTAACACCTAGGTTTGCTACTAATAACAAACGGCATCATATATATATATATATACAACTTAAGGAAAAAACATATTTTTCTTTCTTTAAATCTCTGTCAAGTTTTTATGTCATCAACTATAGGACAACTTTGGTGACATTGAAGAAATCAGTGTCACATGTCATTATTGCTGTCCATTATAAATGATAGTGAGTACAAATTTGGAGTCTTAGGAAAATAGAAAGCAAAGTCCAAATAAATACTTCCAGAGGCCCAGCACTCAAAT